AATGCACTTGACCTTGACTTCTTTAGCAAGGAAATGGCTAAACGCTAACCGCAGAGTGTGGTGAGGGGGTGCACCATCACGGGCGATGCCTGGGCCTCGAATCATTCTGCTGCTGTGACCACTGACACACAGCTGAGCTCACGAGTGGAGTGGGGGGGGGGGCTGGGGGTGGCAAATTCCTTTTATTACCACCTAATGCCCCGCCACTGCATGAAGGAGTGGCTTATTACGCCTTATCCCTCCACCCTATAAGACCACGAAGGGCGACCATTACACTAATGACCCGGAAAACTGGCCCGCAGGCTCCGTGCGCAGACCGAGCCTCTCGCGGGATCCTTCAGACGCGTCAAAGAGCCAAGAGAATAACAGCCCTGCTTGATTAGGTGACCTAACAGTCCTGTTAGAATGACAATCATGAAGCAACAAAGAGCCCTTTTGGGTAAAGAGAGCAAAAATTACAACAAATTAATAAATAAAATTCAGCCTGGAGGCCTGGACATAGAATAAGTGAATCGAATACAAACATTTGCAAAGATGCTTCAATAAATTCCAAGGTTTTCAACCACAGTACATTTTTGTACTGCATTTTTGGATCACTCTTCAGACTGCCCACCAAAGAGTCATAAACCATCATGAAACAAATAAGCTCAAATAGCCATGTAACGAGACTCCCATGATGATTGTGGAAGGAACATGTTACCCCTGGAACCAGGCCTGGGCTGGGAGCTCGAGGCCGAGTCCTTGGTGGCCCAGTCAGGCATAGCCTGAAAAAATAACATGGGTCCACCACCTGCAGGGGGAGCTGTGGAGCGGGTGCAATGTAGCTGGGGTGGCAGTCCATGGCAGGGGCCGCGACGGACTGATTGTTGACTACCGAAACTGGCTCTTGGTACACAGGACGTAACCTCTCTGATGGGAAAGGAGCCTGAGCTGGTGCAGGAGGTAGAGAAATACTGACCAGATACTGAGCACATCTCTCCACACGGCTTGGCTGTGGCTATAAGGTTGTTGGTGCCAGTTGCGGTGGCAAACCCCGAACCCAGTGGTGGACACCAACAGTAAAGGGAGCTGTCAGGCTGAAGAAGGAGGCCTTCAGGGCTTGGTTAGCTTGTGGGACTCAGAAAGCAGTGGACAGGTACCGGCAGGCCAAGCGGGAAGCGGCTCGGGCGGCTGCTGAGGGATATCGTTGGGCAGTGGAAGGAATATTTAGAGGAACTCCTAAATCCCACTGATACGCCCTCCTCGGAGGAAGTAGAGCTGGAAGACTCAGGGGGGGACCTGCCCGTTTCTGGGGCTGAGGTCACTGAAAGGACACTGGGGAGGTGTTTTGGGCATGTCCCACCCGGAGGATGCCCGGGGGCTGACCCAGGACACGCTGGAGAGATCATGTCTCTCAGCTGGCCTGAGAACGCCTCAGTATTCCCCCAGAGGAGCTGGAGGAGGTGGCTGTGGACAGGGAGGTCTGGGCGTCCCTGCTTAGACTGCTGCCCCCGCGACCTGACCCCGGATAAGCGGCGGAAAATGGATGGATGGATGGATGGACCCATGTAATAACATACCCCTACTCAGTACCATTTTACATATGCATGTGACACGCATGCATTGTGGATTTTTGTATACATTTTATAAACAACGATTCCCTTGATTTATAGAAATTTACATACAAATTTGGCGCTGCAGCGTTTGTGCTGAGCGTCCTTAATTTGAGCAGACATGTCACCCCCCCGCTGTTCACTCCGGGCTCTGATGATGTTGTTTACGTAATTAAGAGAGAGAAAAGCATGCTCTTGGTGCGTATTGATCAGGAGGTGACGTTGGTTTATGTTCCTAATAACTGCGCCGGAATGAGAGAGCTAGAGCAGGCAAGGGAGGCCATAATCATTATAGATACTGGCTTTGGCTCTGGGTTCGATTTTGGTCAATGAAGGTACGAAGCTGCATTCTTGAGCACTCTGCTTTTGATCTAAACTGCTTAGTTTGAAGGCAAATTGTCTCAGAAATTCATAAGGGAAGTGAGGGGACGGGGCTTCAAGCTTTGGCCACACCCAAAGCAGGGAAGGTGCATTAGCCAATGAGAAGCTGTTGCGTGGTTTGTTTAGGGCAATTGGTGGTGGGACATTTGGGCAGGACCTGGAAGCAGAGCTCACACCCAGGCAGTGGCTCTGGGGGTGTGTACGCATCAGCAGTGACTCTGAGGGTGTGTACGCATCAGCAGTGACTCTGGGGGTGTGTACGCATCAGCAGTGACTCTGNGGGTGTGTACGCATCAGCAGTGACTCTGGGGGTGTGTACGCATCAGCAGTGACTCGGGGTGTGTACGCATCAGCAGTGAATCTAGGGGTGT